CCCACACACACGTCAAGGTCACCCACGAATCATCTTTGTTCCCTCTGGCTCTTTCTCATTGTGCGCCATCCGGTCTGTTCATTCAATTCTAAATGTATTTGGTAAGTGCACAACAACCAGAGCTTTTTCACTTTACCTGTTGTAATTATGCACATGTCCACCATGTATGTTATTCTTGCTCTCCCTGTTCGAACCTTCCAACTTATTAAACTGTGCTTAGACAGCTGATTTAGACCGCGCGAGAACGAATGACCACGATCAGCATTGCTTATGCTCTGTTACTTGTTCTCCTTTCAGCTGTTCTTGGCATGTCTGGAAATCCCCAACGGATTCGCCCTTTTCGATACGGTTGCCCAAATATATATATGTGTGTGTGTGTTCTTCTCGTTGAAGCGTGACTGTAGTCGGGCTCACCAGGGTTTGTCCCCGTAGGCTGCTGTTGATATGTTGATATACAGTGAAATATCGGGAAACACTCCGGTCCATGGGACTTCAAACGATCTGATTCCGCGAGAACATCAATCGATTTGAACCGCTGATCACAATGACACATTGGTCCTTGTTTAATTTTCGCCAACCAACGAGATCTGAGAAATTCCATCCGATTTAATCAGTGAAGAGATGGTCCCCGACATGTCGTATTTTTTTCCATTCCGAATTCGAAGCAGTACCCGGCTTGCATGCATTATCTCTCTGATATCCGGATTCACCGGGGCTCAATGTGTCAATTGATGTGACAGGGTTATTTGTGCAAATCACCTGGTCACCCCCGTGGGGATGCCAGTTTTGTCTCATGGAAAGCACCAATTCAATCGGGCCTCGCACCTCCTGATAGGATGATGCCATATTTTATCAGGTAAATGTCTTTCAACTGTCTTTTTACTTCCTTTTTCTAATTAGTGAATATATACAAATGTATTTTGAACTTTCAGGAAGGGAGCTGCGGCCATACAAAGGCTGCCTGGGGAAAATACAGATATAGGGAAGATGGTCGGTGTGAAGTGATTTGGACCGGGGACACCCAGGTCACTAGTTGGTGACCTAACCACTTGGCCATCACTTAAATCCCATGCTGACCTCACTCGGGGTGTTACTAATTGAAATACGTCTACCTTTCCCAAGTGCGACATCACAGACCAACACTTTGTAAAAGATACTAATCTACTATTGGTGGATTTCGTAACCAGCATCGGCAATCTAATGAAAGAACCTTCTAAATTATAAGTAGTTAATGTTGATATCCCGGTTTATAGGAATTTGGTTTATTCAATAATTTACTCCTGGAACGAGGGTGGGAAATGGAACCGTTTGACGCAGCGTTGGGCACTCAAAACCTTCAATGTTATTGTACTTGGTAAAAGCACTAGGAACCAATACTTAGCTTCATTTTATTCAGCTACAAGATAAGATTATTTTTGAGAATAATTCAACTTTACCTTACCGTCAACCGAACTGTCTTACACGTCTGTCCCCAAAGAAAGCATTGGATGTGACGTATCGATATGCTGATCGAATTTATTTCGGATGACTATCAGATTTAATATGCTTCGCACATTGGAATTTGTAAGGTTTGTGAACTTTCGTACACCGTCACTTTGAGAACACTCGATAGAAAAAGTACAGATTATACTCGCAAAATGTTACCTTTGGTAGCGCAAACTTATATTGCAGAATACCTTTCTTGCCTTTCGGGAACCACTCTGAACACATTTTATCAGGGTTTGCCAAAAGTGATCATTTAACCTTATGTTTTTTGGGGTCTAAATGACAATCATCCAAATTGTTGTTCAAACGTTTAGATTATTACTTATAATTTAAGGGCTTCCATGTCAAAAGAGCTTCAATATGGGTCACGTTTGCCTGTGTAAATTCCACAGCCGCAGTCTCAAAAAATGGTCGATTGATGATGATGAGGACATCAATTTTAGCGAATTCTCATCAAAATTCACTAACCTCGAAACAGACAACTTTCTCTATCTGACTGCCTCCAAGCTAGATATCATCAAGTCTGAGATCCTGGGACTTTAGGCTGTTTGTGGAATTCTTCACTGGAACAAAACACTGGTAGCCATGTCTTAGAACCTTGTTGAAGTGTTAACAAGGCTGTTCCATCCGCTCGGAGCAAACAAGAATAGTTTCAGATTTCATTGGATTGAATCATCTGATACCATATAATATGTGTATTGTTCAAGGAATTTTCACGTTAGTTTTTCTCTTTTTCCTCCCAATCAGAATGATACGCAAACTACCAAAAGCAAATCAAACTTTGCTCAGACTGCTGATATTCCTTCTCAGTCACATTCGTGATCACGAGGCATCCAATCGCATGTCCACGGAAGCATTGGGCATTGTTTGGGGTGCAAATTTGATCCAACGTCCCGGAACTGCGCCGAGCCCGACCGATTCGAAACTAGCCTGTCGGATTGTGGAATGTCTGCTGGATCCACAGATGATTACCAATGTGCTTTTAGAATCCCCTGCCGTGGTGAATGAACTGCGTCGTCTGTTTGAGACGAAATGGGACAGTTTAATCAACACAAATGTAACCAGTGATGAAGTTTCTTTAACTCGCAGTCCACCATGCATACAACAACCACTACAAGACTCGTACAGCACGAATTCGGATCTCGGCCGTAAGTTCGTTGTATACCTGAAGAACAGATCATCTGATTAAATGTTTGAATGATTCATTAATCCATTCGGTAAATTATCGAACTGTTCATCTTGATTTATGGCTGGGATTCTGTATGTGTGAACCCCGGGAATCGAACTTTCTCTGTATGGATTATTGGTGTCAGATAAAATTCAACTGTATTTTCTCTTACAGCCAAATTTTCGTTTTGGTCGTGTACTTTTCTGTTATCGGTTGTCCGGAATTCGTTAACCGCTTTGAGAATAATTCTGATTTTTTACATCCTATTACCATCTCGACTGGTATTCTCGTTTAACCTAAGTTGCCTAAAGCATAATCACGACAACTTGTTACGAGCGGTCGATACGTGGAAAGGGCTATTTTGCTGATCAGCGAAAGAGCTCTTCCGTGAAAAATAAACTTTTCTGGAGTACAGTCACGATTCAAAGATTCGACTGCAACTCCGCTGCTCACTCAGTCTTTAGGGGCACCGTGTTGAATATGAGACTGACTGAATTGTTTCTATGGGTTATTTCAAGGCGGAGCTGAACAGGGTTGACTTAGTCTTCTAGTTTGTTCTATTTCGCCTCTCGCACGAGCTTGGCAATTTGGTTGCAATCGTTTCATCATCAGCCGAGGTAATATCGTCGGTGTTTGTGCGATTAAACGATAATCAGTGGCAAACAAATGATGTCACCATCAAGCAAACCTGACAACTGGAACAATCAGTGGTTACGTGCTTCATCAGTCGGAATGGCATGGGACCGTTTATTGCCTTCGTTGACTTGAAAAAATCAACTTATTACTGTTTTTTCTTGGTAAGGGATTATAATAAATAAAAATATAATAAAGTAATCGCTTTCACTGTTCAGATAGCTGTTGAACTTCTATATCGTGATCTAAAATAACTCTTAAGGTTTGATATAAGTTGGTTCAGTGAAATTCATATCAATGCACAAGTACGGGACTGGTTTGACAAAGGAATATTGAGTAACTATAGTTGACCGCAAATAAGAAAAGAAAAAATCGGTCTTTTGCCGCTCACTAGTTCACCAACGAAATCAGTATTCAAGAAAAAGAAGTAACAGGAAACTGTTTAAATTTTTTTAATTTTTAGTTCGTTTATGTTTGAGTTAACTTAACCCAAAAATGTCAGCGTGTTACTTTTTTCAGATCAGCTTCTCGTTTTAGTTCTTTGAACAATTCACCAATCTCTTATCTCTTCACTGTCCGTTTGAGTGACCTTGTATGCTATTGTCCATCAGTATTGTCTTTTTTTAGACAGTCCGATTCCTTTGATGCACCAGTACCAATTGCTGATTGTTGATACTGAGTGATTTGGTCGAGGTTGTTGTACTATTCCTCAAAAAGACGCCTGTGATTGCCATTGTCCGACCAGCACTGCTCAATCCAGTCTTTCATTGAGCAGAGTAGCCTAGTATGCCAGAAAGGGTTGGGGCTGCGAGGTAGTATAGTAACCATTCGCGGATGCTTCGGAATCAGCATCATTAACATCATAGAGGCAGCTAGACTGACACACCATTATAACCCCATGCATGCGCCGAAACGAGAATTTGACGATTGATGGTGTGTATAATATTGCAGATTATCAGTTAGCTGAAACACGCTTAACGTGTACAAAGGAAACAACAACAGTAGGTTGCACTATGCATGTCAAAGAAGATTCGACGCCATTTCTACTGGGGCACATAGTAACAAGAACAACAGTTCAATTAACTTGACGGTGGTTCATGTGTATTAATATGATTTGATCGCCTGTTACCACGTTCTGCACATACACTCTGCAAGCCATTGCAGGAGAGCTTTGAATACAGTCTGCGGCACACTGAAACCCATATGCAGTGGTTGCCCGAAAAATAGTGGTTTGCCACCTCGCGAGTATCTAACTTGAGTTTTCAAGCGTAAGTATACCTTTGTGCAGATGGTATGGCGATGAACAGCTCTTCGGAAAGCACCCGCATGTCATAATTCCACAAGACCGGTGCTGACTCGAGTAGACTTGTTCATTACGAACCACAGTTGGCGTATAGATAGTTTGGCGTACATATAACAACACATCTCATTTTGAACGTGTCAGCACAATTACCGGAGACACAAAGTCTAATGAATGGAACAGACCGTAGTTATCATTTGGAACACAAAAATTCACTCTAAGAGGTCTTGTTAATGTTTGACCGCTGAAAGAAACCACCGAGTGCATCGTTTTGCGTACTACTCACACATGTGAGTATTCCCCACAACACTCGTAGATATGCTAGTCGCTACCATCGAAAACCATACATGTTCAATCCCTGAAACGAGTTAAACCATTTACAAGAAACCTTGATGATGAGTTTGTCGTAGTACCAACAACGTGTGATTTTCTCCATGGGAGTTACGAACAGTTAACATAAAAATGTTGGTTATTCTAAATGATGAATACAATAGTCGCCTATCGTTTCTGGATAACCTAATGATAATTTTCTGGATGAGGTGCTTCAAAAATCTTTATACCGCAAGGTTAATCAATCATACCGATATCAGTATTTCTGTCGTTTCATAGTATTTAACCATAAGTGTCTCACACTGAAGGTGCCGAGCACGTATTAAGCGGATTTCAATCCACTGGCAGCGATAAAGATTACCAGTCAGTTTAATTACGAAGTCCAGATGCATACATAAATAGCAACAAATAGAGAAAGATGGTCAAAAGAAACGTTTAAACCGCCCTTTCGTTTAAATGTGGTGATATTGGCTTGAACTTCAAAGGTCGTTTGAAAGCAGTAGAAGAAGACATTTAAAATACTGTGATCATCAGTCATCACTTTTACTTAAGAACACGGAAGATCCAAACAACCTGTGTCATCGCTCCACGTTCATTCATTCGAAGAAAAAGATTCACATTTCGTGATACGCTTACCCGTAAACAGAACATTGTGGACGTGAACTGAAAACCTGTAAAGTACAGTACAGCTGTTTCGACCCAAACCAGATGAAGATCAAAACTGGGATTTCACCGGTGAGATGCAAGAATGTTTCCGGTTTGAACACCGAACAGATGAACAAACAATTTCGCTTTGACTGTATAGGATATAGCACAATCTCTCTTTTCAAACCTATGTCTGTCATCTCAAAACGCTCACCTTATCATTAGTCTACGTATCATTATGACTTGGTTGAAAACATTCCGAACCAGAGTTAGTTTGTTTACGAGGAGTAATTTTCCGTTTTCATTTTCATGGAATCTGTGCAGAAAATCAGCTCACTCTGGCTCCCATTGTATGCGCAGTGTAGTTCTTAAGTGCAAACTTGCCAGCCGGTCCACCTTTTGTGTGCAAGTGGTGACTCGTCAAGTCAAGTCAAGTATTCACTTAAGGTTGTTTTCGTTCCAAAAATGGAGAAGAGTTGCCTCGCCATCACTTGTTTTACCAACTCCAACCCGATGTTGGAGTTTCATTCGTTACTCGAAATTATATTACTGGTGATTGGCAAGCGGATTACAAACAGCGGGTTCACTCTTGCTAACAGATTTGACTCCGAACTCTCTCCTCAACGTTCTGAGCAATTGATTTGATATTCTCGATAACATAATTATGCCACGGAAGCACGCATCATGGGGTTATATTCAGCGCAAAGTTGAGTCTCACAAATTAACTTTGGGCTCGCAAGACGCATGCATGATTCCAATTGCAAGTATGCGATGTTCACTCTCGATATGCACAATTGGATTACCAATTTTCCCAGCGAGTTCCAAAAGTTGACTTGGGCTCTTTGTCCAGTCGGATAACTATTCATTTAATCCAAGGGATCCGGCCACATGTGACTGAACCACCACTATTCTTGTATTTCATTCGAGAGAAAACACTTCAAAAAAGTGTGCATTTCATTTATTATCCAAGTATGCGCTTTGCGGTGATTTTAAACTACTCACCGATTTTTAATACCTTTTGTTGATCAAAACACACGGTGTAGACAAGGATTAGTTTCCGAACTGCACCTCAAGTCCCGGCCGATGTAAATGATCCTTAATTAAGTGAATTGGTTTTAAAATCCGGTGTTCCGATGTGTGAAGTTTGGACAGATACACGGCTTCAACATATCGCCTTGACGCACTCGAATCAGAATATTGTTACACAGTGTGCACGGATCAGAAAAGTTACCCCCCTCCTTCCAAGTTGGCTTTGGGTGTGCATCAAATCCACCAGATTGGTGTCGTTCAGTCAGTTGCACAACGATATTGGGAACAATAAAACTCATAGAGCGAAAACACGGACACAGGATAGTTGACGATTGTAAGTTTAGAAAAACACGAAAGATATCTGCTGTTTATGGGTCTGTTCTACGAATGCTTAAGTTAATACTCATTGTGTAATGAACAAGCACCCACCGGTGGATGTTGATTGATTGCAAAAGACTAATTTATGCAGTCAGAGTCGACAATTTTCTCACCTGGGTGTGTTTTTGTGTGAAAAGTTCATAGCCGGCGGAGGCTGGGACAAGAGGCGACGCGGATGATAAACGATGCAGCATGGATGATAAAATATGCGTCGAAGCTGAGTAACAAAGGGAGAAGCTGTAGGTGACAGGTTGTTGCCATTGGCATTGTGGATAAAACGCAAGTTAATGCGGAGTTACAGAGAAGAAAATGCGCTTTCTTTTTCCTAGTTAATGGGCTCAAACGTAATCTTGATACTCAGGTGGAATACTATCAATTCTTTCATTTTATCCTTATGCTATTGGTAAGTGTCTCATGAGGTGTACTTTTCAGTGCCGGAAATATGCAATCAATTTCATTTGACTCAAATGAATAGTTGTTATTCAAGGGGACCTCTGCTTGAAT